GTTCCTGTGTCAAGGTGACATGTTCAGTAAGACACTGTATCTGTGTCCAGCTGACATGTTCAGTAAGACACTGTATCTGTGTCCAGCTGACATGTTCAGTAAGACACTGTTCCTGTGTCCAGCTGACATGTTCAGTAAGACACTGTATCTGTGTCCAGCTGACATGTTCAGTAAGACACTGTACCTGTGTCAAGCTGACATGTTCAGTAAGACACTGTTCCTGTGTCCAGCTGACATGTTCAGTAAGACACTGTATCTGTGTCCAGCTGACATGTTCAGTAAGACACTGTACCTGTGTCCAGCTGACATGTTCAGTAAAACACTGTTCCTGTGTCCAGCTGACATGTTCAGTAAGACACTGTATCTGTGTCCAGCTGACATGTTCAGTAAGACACTGTATCTGTGTCCAGCTGACATGTTCAGTAAGACACTGTTCCTGTGTCCAGATGACATGTTCAGTAAGACACTGTACCTGTGTCCAGATGACATGTTTATTAAGACACTGTATCTGTGTCCAGCTGACATGTTCAGTAAGACACTGTACCTGTGTCCAGCTGACATGTTCAGTAAGACACTGTTTCTGTGTCCAGATGACATGTTCAGTAAAACACTGTTCCTGTGTCCAGATGACATGTTCAGTAAGACACTGTATCTGTGTCCAGCTGACATGTTCAGTAAGACACTGTTCCTGTGTCCAGATGACATGTTCAGTAAGACACTGTATCTGTGTCCAGCTGACATGTTCAGTAAGACACTGTACCTGTGTCCAAATGACATGTTCAGTAAGACACTGTATCTGTGTCCAGCTGACATGTTCAGTAAGACACTGTTCCTGTGTCCAGCTGACATGTTCAGTAAGACACTGTATCTGTGTCCAGCTGACATGATCAGTAAAACACTGTACCTGTGTCCAGCTGACATGTTCAGTAAGACACTGTATCTGTGTCCAGCTGACATGTTCAGTAAGACACTGTATCTGTGTCCAGCTGACATGTTCAGTAAGACACTGTACCTGTGTCCAGCTGACATGTTCAGTAAGACACTGTATCTGTGTCCAGCTGACATGTTCAGTAAGACACTGTTCCTGTGTCCAGCTGACATGTTCAGTAAGACAATGTTCCTGTGTCCAGCTGACATGTTCAGTAAGACACTGTATCTGTGTCCAGCTGACATGTTCAGTAAGACACTGTATCTGTGTCCAGCTGACATGTTCAGTAAGACACTGTTCCTGTGTCCAGCTGACATGTTCAGTAAGACACTGTATCTGTGTCCAGCTGACATGTTCAGTAAGACACTGTTCCTGTGTCCAGCTGACATGTTCAGTAAAACACTGTTCCTGTGTCCAGCTGACATGTTCAGTAAGACACTGTATCTGTGTCCAGCTGACATGTTCAGTAAGACACTGTTCCTGTGTCCAGATGACATGTTCAGTAAGACACTGTACCTGTGTCCAGATGACATGTTCAGTAAGACACTGTATCTGTGTCCAGCTGACATGTTCAGTAAGACACTGTTCCTGTGTCCAGATGACATGTTCAGTAAGACACTGTACCTGTGTCCAGATGACATGTTCAGTAAGACACTGTATCTGTGTCCAGCTGACATGTTCAGTAAGACACTGTTCCTGTGTCCAGATGACATGTTCAGTAAGACACTGTACCTGTGTCCAGATGACATGTTCAGTAAGACACTGTATCTGTGTCCAGCTGACATGTTCAGTAAGACACTGTACCTGTGTCCAGCTGACATGTTCAGTAAGACACTGTACCTGTGTCCAGCTGACATGTTCAGTAAGACACTGTATCTGTGTCCAGATGACATGTTCAGTAAGACACTGTTCCTGTGTCCAGCTGACATGTTCAGTAAGACACTGTTCCTGTGTCAAGCTGACATGTTCAGTAAGACACTGTACCTGTGTCCAGCTGACATGTTCAGTAAGACACTGTACCTGTGTCCAGCTGACATGTTCAGTAAGACACTGTATCTGTGTCAAGCTGACATGTTCAGTAAGACACTGTTCCTGTGTCCAGCTGACATGTTCAGTAAGACACTGTATCTGTGTCCAGCTGACATGTTCAGTAAGACACTGTACCTGTGTCCAGATGACATGTTTATTAAGACACTGTATCTGTGTCCAGCTGACATGTTCAGTAAGACACTGTACCTGTGTCCAGCTGACATGTTTATTAAGACACTGTATCTGTGTCCAGCTGACATGTTCAGTAAGACACTGTATCTGTGTCAAGCTGACATGTTCAGTAAGACAATGTTCCTGTGTCAAGGTGACATGTTCAGTAAGACACTGTACCTGTGTCCAGATGACATGTTTATTAAGACACTGTATCTGTGTCCAGCTGACATGTTCAGTAAGACACTGTACCTGTGTCCAGCTGACATGTTCAGTAAGACACTGTATCTGTGTCCAGATGACATGTTCAGTAAGACACTGTATCTGTGTCCAGCTGACATGTTCAGTAAGACACTGTACCTGTGTCCAGCTGACATGTTCAGTAAGACACTGTATCTGTGTCCAGCTGACATGTTCAGTAAGACACTGTTCCTGTGTCCAGCTGACATGTTCAGTAAGACACTGTATCTGTGTCCAGCTGACATGTTCAGTAAGACACTGTTCCTGTGTCCAGCTGACATGTTCAGTAAGACACTGTATCTGTGTCCAGCTGACATGTTCAGTAAGACACTGTTCCTGTGTCCAGATGACATGTTCAGTAAGACACTGTACCTGTGTCCAGATGACATGTTCAGTAAGACACTGTATCTGTGTCCAGCTGACATGTTCAGTAAGACACTGTTCCTGTGTCCAGCTGACATGTTCAGTAAGACACTGTATCTGTGTCCAGCTGACATGTTCAGTAAAACACTGTACCTGTGTCCAGCTGACATGTTCAGTAAGACACTGTATCTGTGTCCAGCTGACATGTTCAGTAAGACACTGTATCTGTGTCCAGCTGACATGTTCAGTAAGACACTGTACCTGTGTCCAGCTGACATGTTCAGTAAGACACTGTATCTGTGTCCAGCTGACATGTTCAGTAAGACACTGTTCCTGTGTCCAGCTGACATGTTCAGTAAGACACTGTTCCTGTGTCAAGGTGACATGTTCAGTAAGACACTGTATCTGTGTCCAGCTGACATGTTCAGTAAGACACTGTATCTGTGTCCAGCTGACATGTTCAGTAAGACACTGTTCCTGTGTCCAGCTGACATGTTCAGTAAGACACTGTATCTGTGTCCAGCTGACATGTTCAGTAAGACACTGTACCTGTGTCAAGCTGACATGTTCAGTAAGACACTGTTCCTGTGTCCAGCTGACATGTTCAGTAAGACACTGTATCTGTGTCCAGCTGACATGTTCAGTAAGACACTGTACCTGTGTCCAGCTGACATGTTCAGTAAAACACTGTTCCTGTGTCCAGCTGACATGTTCAGTAAGACACTGTATCTGTGTCCAGCTGACATGTTCAGTAAGACACTGTATCTGTGTCCAGCTGACATGTTCAGTAAGACACTGTTCCTGTGTCCAGATGACATGTTCAGTAAGACACTGTACCTGTGTCCAGATGACATGTTTATTAAGACACTGTATCTGTGTCCAGCTGACATGTTCAGTAAGACACTGTATCTGTGTCCAGCTGACATGTTTATTAAGACACTGTATCTGTGTCCAGCTGACATGTTCAGTAAGACACTGTATCTGTGTCAAGCTGACATGTTCAGTAAGACAATGTTCCTGTGTCAAGGTGACATGTTCAGTAAGACACTGTACCTGTGTCCAGATGACATGTTTATTAAGACACTGTATCTGTGTCCAGCTGACATGTTCAGTAAGACACTGTACCTGTGTCCAGCTGACATGTTCAGTAAGACACTGTATCTGTGTCCAGATGACATGTTCAGTAAGACACTGTATCTGTGTCCAGCTGACATGTTCAGTAAGACACTGTACCTGTGTCCAGCTGACATGTTCAGTAAGACACTGTATCTGTGTCCAGCTGACATGTTCAGTAAGACACTGTTCCTGTGTCCAGCTGACATGTTCAGTAAGACACTGTATCTGTGTCCAGCTGACATGTTCAGTAAGACACTGTTCCTGTGTCCAGCTGACATGTTCAGTAAGACACTGTATCTGTGTCCAGATGACATGTTCAGTAAGACACTGTTCCTGTGTCCAGATGACATGTTCAGTAAGACACTGTACCTGTGTCCAGATGACATGTTCAGTAAGACACTGTACCTGTGTCAAGCTGACATGTTCAGTAAGACACTGTATCTGTGTCCAGCTGACATGTTCAGTAAAACACTGTTCCTGTGTCCAGCTGACATGTTCAGTAAAACACTGTTCCTGTGTCCAGATGACATGTTCAGTAAGACACTGTATCTGTGTCCAGCTGACATGTTCAGTAAGACACTGTACCTGTGTCCAGCTGACATGTTCAGTAAAACACTGTATCTGTGTCCAGCTGACATGTTCAGTAAGACACTGTCCCTGTGTCCACCTGACATGTTCAGTAAGACACTGTACCTGTGTCCAGATGACATGTTCAGTAAGACACTGTACCTGTGTCAAGCTGACATGTTCAGTAAGACACTGTATCTGTGTCCAGCTGACATGTTCAGTAAGACACTGTATCTGTGTCCAGCTGACATGTTCAGTAAGACACTGTACCCATGTCCAGCTGACATGTTCAGTAAGACATTACAATTTTGAATGGAGGCCAGATATTTTTTCAGCTACAGCTGCAAAACCAGATTATTTAAATTAAAACTAAGAGTGTAAATATACCTCAAAGCAAGGTATTTCTCTTGACAGATAAGTTCCTTTTTGTTCCAACAGTCTGAAGCATATTTAATCTTTTCATGCATTTCCTGGGAAATATTATTTCTTTTTGATGACATGACAAAACAAGCAAAAAGACAATCACCAATGTCAAACATGACCAAACTTAGTTGAACAAACTGCTGCTGCTGGGAGATACACTGACCTTCCATGCACCCCGGATGTGCATCTTGGCGATCATTTCAGCTGTGAACAGGAAGGTAATCACCATGTCGATGGAGAAGGTGACATACATGAGAGACGGCAGCTTCTCGAACGTCTTGGGTGTGTTCATGCTGACGGAGATCATGCTGAGAAGTGCACATCCCCGCAGCAACCTCCGTGTCCATGTCTTGTTAACCCACTCAATGTCGGCGTTGTCATTGAGATTCTCGTCAGGGCCATAGTCGGCCATGGACATACCATTCTTGAAGCTGGTCTTTCTGTTGACCAGCATTGTGAGTGATTCTGTCAATGGAAAACACTATATTAGCTGACTGTGTCGGGCAAAACATTGTTACATATTATATGTCCCAGCGGCTTCCCACTCCCATTGTCCCACTTAGCAGTAGTGCACGAAACATCATCACAACAATATCGGCACGCCGGGGATGACCTTAGCACGCTAGCCCAAGGCAGAGAGTCGTCCACTACAACCATCTCCATGCTAGTAGTAGTAGACATAGAATGCCAGGCTGTTTAGGGATGTGTTCTCATAGCTCTATGACTGTGGCTAGTGAATGAATCAGGTTAATTTCCATTGCTGACCAGCTTGTCAGGGCAATGGTCCACCTACCTCTTTTAGTCTTTACCCTCATCCAATGAATGTAGGCCTTCACACACCATTAACAGAGACTGGGTGAATGTAGGCCTTCACACACCATTAACAGAGACTGGGTGAATGTAGGCCTTCACTCACCATTAACAGAGACTGGGAGAATGTAGCCCTTCACACACCATTAACAGAGACTGGATGAATGTAGGCCTTCACACACCATTAACAGAGACTGGGTGAATGTAGGCCTTCACACACCATTAACAGAGACTGGGAGAATGTTGCCCTTCACACACCATTAACAGAGACTGGGTGAATGTAGCCCTTCACACACCATTAACAGAGACTGGGTGAATGTAGGCCTTCACACACCATTAACAGAGACTGGGTGAATGTAGGCCTTCACACACCATTAACAGAGACTGACTGGGTGAATGTAGGCCTTCACACACCATTAACAGAGACTGGGTGAATGTAGCCCTTCACACACCATTAACAGAGACTGGATGAATGTAGGCCTTCACACACCATTAACAGAGACTGGGTGAATGTAGCCCTTCACACACCATTAACAGAGACTGGATGAATGTAGGCCTTCACACACCATTAACAGAGACTGGGTGAATGTAGGCCTTCACACACCATTAACAGAGACTGGGAGAATGTAGCCCTTCACACACCATTAACAGAGACTGGGTGAATGTAGCCCTTCACACACCATTAACAGAGACTGGGTGAATGTAGCCCTTCACACACCATTAACAGAGACTGGGAGAATGTAGCCCTTCTAGTACAAAAAGTACTGAGTAGCCTGCAACCTCGGGGTATCGCGGTACTTGTCATGTACGCTAAACGGAACAAAATGCACTCACTAACCTTTATGTTTATTCGTGTTCTCTGTATCAGATATCATTCATGTTATCAAACAATGCATATTTTACTGATAAAAGTTCATTATTTACATTAGCAGCTCCGAGTAAAAGCCGGGCCTCGCGCTCTGTTTGACAAGGGAGAGAACTCCATCGTATCGCGGTACAGAGAAAAGTTGTGTATGGAGGTCCGAATTGGACAAAAAGAGGACATAATTCTACCAACCACTTGGTTTGATCATGCCAGACATCAGTGATTTGTCCAGACAAGTGCAAAGACAGCACAAGTAAAATTCTAAATGTGTTATCAGCAATAGGTATTCAATGCATATTTACCGAAAAGTAAGTGAAAAATATTTTTATAAGTCAACATCAAAATATCAGAAATGATATTTTAAGATTGTTTAAAAACAATTGGATGACAAAAATTTGTCACAAAATGGAAAAATGTTAAAAGTCAACAATAAATATATAAAAAAGCACTCCTAGTATGCCCAAAGTATGTATTTATCTTTTGGTTACTAGTGAAGAACGTATTTCTAAGTTTGGCATTATGGCCCTTATGATCTCCCAATAGATTCTGGGCACCGAGCGGGAAAAAATGTGTGGACTACGTAAGTTCCGTTACCTCATTAGTCGCCATGAATATGCAGATGATCTAGTTCAGGTCGATAGAGAAAGTTTACTTTGGGAACTGCGGGTTATATCGTTGGCCATTGATAGATGGGGGTAAGGCAATATTACAACAGATGCCAGAAATATGTATCAACGGATGAATAACTCCTTACTTACAGCAGACGGAAAATTCCGAGGAAATTGAAATTGTTTACGAAGTGAGCACTTCCTGGTTACTGATTTGCATTAATAGACAGCCGCAATGAGGCGTGTCCCGCGTGAACTACCGGAAATCACAAATGCCGCGATACGATGAATGCCGTGGTACCATGGGGTCCGAGTATACTACATGTACAGTGTTGAATGAGATGTTTCACTGTTCTCTCACAGGTGGACCAGTACTTGGTGAGGGAAGACAGAGTGACTCAGGTGTACAGGTTGTAACAGGACTTACTGTCGGTGAGGGAAGACAGAGTAACTCAGGTGTACAGGTTGTAGCAGGACTTACTGTCGGTGAGGGAAGACGGAGTGACTCAGGTGTACAGGTTGTAGCAGGACTTACTGTCGGGAGGGAAGACAGAGTGACTCAGGTGTACAGGTTGTAACAGGACTTACTGTCGGTGAGGGAAGACTAAGTGACTCAGGTGTACAGGTTGTAGCAGGACTTACTGTCGGTGAGGGAAGACAGAGTGACTCAGGTGTACAGGTTGTAACAGGACTTACTGTCAGTGAGGGAAGACAGAGTGACTCAGGTGTACAGGTTGTAACAGGACTTACTGTCAGTGAGGGAATACGGAGTGACTCAGGTGTACAGGTTGTAACAGGACTTACTGTCAGTGAGGGAAGACAGAGTGACTCAGGTGTACAGGTTGTAACAGGACTTACTGTCGGTGAGGGAAGACAGAGTGACTCAGGTGTACAGGTTGTAACAGGACTTACTGTCGGTGAGGGAAGACAGAGTGACTCAGGTGTACAGGTTGTAACAGGACTCACTGTCGATGAGGGAAGACAGAGTGACTCAGGTGTACAGGTTGTAACAGGACTTACTGTCGGTGACGGAAGACAAGGGTGACTCAGGTCTACAGGTTGTAACAGGACTTACTGTCGGTGAGGGAAGACAGAGTGACTCAGGTGTACAGGTTGTAACAGGACTTACTGTCGGTGAGGGAAGAAGGAGTGACTCAGGTGTACAGGTTGTAACAGGACTTACTGTCGGTGAGGTTAGACAGGGTGACTCAGGTGTACAGGTTGTAGCAGGACTTACTGTCGGTGAGGGAAGACGGAGTGACTCAGGTGTACAGGTTGTAGCAGGACTTACTGTCGGTGAGGGAAGACAGAGGGACTCAGGTGTACATGTTGTAACAGGACTTACTGTCGATGAGGGAAGACGGAGTGACTCAGGTGTACAGGTTGTAACAGGACTTACTGTCGGTGAGGGAAGACGGAGTGACTCGATGTACAGGTTCTAGCAGGACTTACTGTCGATGAGGGAAGACAGAGTGCCTCAGGTGTACAGGTTGTAACAGGACTTACTGTCGGTGAGGGAAGACAGAGTGACTCAGGTGTACAGGTTGTAACAGGACTTACTGTCAGTGAGGGAAGACAGAGTGACTCAGGTGTACAGGTTCTAGCAGGACTTACTGTCGATGAGGGAAGACAGAGTGACTCAGGTGTACAGGTTGTAACAGGACTTACTGTCGGTGAGGGAAGACAGAGTGACTCAGGTGTACAGGTTGTAACAGGACTTACTGTCAGTGAGGGAAGACAAGGGTGACTCAGGTGTACAGGTTGTAACAGGACTTACTGTCGGTGAGGGAAGACGGAGTGACTCAGGTGTACAGGTTGTAGCAGGACTTACTGTCGGTGAGGGACGACAGAGTGACTCAGGTGTACAGGTTGTAGCAGGACTTATTGTCGGTGAGGGAAGACAGAGTGACTCAAGTGTACAGGTTGTAGCAGGACTTACTGTCGGTGAGGGACGACAGAGTGACTCAGGTGTACAGGTTGTAGCAGGACTTACTGTCGGTGAGGGAAGACAGAGTGACTCAGGTGTACAGGTTGTAACAGGACTCATGTCGGTGAGGGAAGACAGAGTGACTCAGGTGTACAGGTTGTAACAGGACTTACTGTCAGTGAGGGAAGACAGAGTGACTCAGGTGTACAGGTTCTAGCAGGACTTACTGTCGATGAGGGAAGACAGAGTGACTCAGGTGTACAGGTTGTAGCAGGACTTACTGTCGGTGAGGGACGACAGAGTGACTCAGGTGTACAGGTTGTAGCAGGACTTACTGTCGGTGAGGGAAGACAGAGTGACTCAGGTGTACAGGTTGTAACAGGACTCATGTCGGTGAGGGAAGACAGAGTGACTCAGGTGTACAGGTTGTAACAGGACTTACTGTCAGTGAGGGAAGACAGAGTGACTCAGGTGTACAGGTTCTAGCAGGACTTACTGTCGATGAGGGAAGACAGAGTGACTCAGGTGTACATGTTGTAACAGGACTTACTGTCGGTGAGGGAAGACGGAGTGACTCAGGTGTACAGGTTGTAACAGGACTTACTGTCGGTAAGGGAAGACAGAGTGACTCAGGTGTACAGGTTGTAACAGGACTTACTGTCGGTGAGGGAAGACAAGGGTGACTCAGGTGTACATGTTGTAACAGGACTTAATATTGGTGAGGGAAGACGGAGTGACTCAGGTGTACAGGTTGTAACAGGACTTACTGTCGGTGAGGGAAGACGGAGTGACTCAGGTGTACAGGTTGTAACAGGACTCACTGTCGGTGAGGGAAAACTGAGTGACTCAGGTGTACAGGTTGTAGCAGGACTTACTGTCGGTGAGGTTAGACGGAGTGACTCAGGTGTACAGGTTGTAGCAGGACTTACTGTCGGTGAGGGAAGACGGAGTGACTCAGGTGTACAGGTTGTAGCAGGACTTACTGTCGGTGAGGGAAGACAGAGTGACTCAGGTGTACTGGTTGTAACAGGACTTACTGTCGGTGAGGGAAGACGGAGTGCCTCAGGTGTACAGGTTGTAACAGGACTTACTGTCGGTGAGGGAAGACAGAGTGACTCAGGTGTACAGGTTGTAACAGGACTTACTGTCGGTGAGGGAAGACAGAGTGACTCAGGTGTACAGGTTCTAGCAGGACTTACTGTCGATGAGGGAAGACAGAGTGACTCAGGTGTACAGGTTGTAACAGGACTTACTGTCGGTGAGGGAAGACAGAGTGACTCAGGTGTACAGGTTGTAACAGGACTTACTGTCAGTGAGGGAAGACAAGGGTGACTCAGGTGTACAGGTTGTAACAGGACTTACTGTCGGTGAGGGAAGACGGAGTGACTCAGGTGTACAGGTTGTAACAGGACTTACTGTCGGTGAGGGAAGACGGAGTGACTCAGGTGTACAGGTTGTAACAGGACTTACTGTCAGTGAGGGAAGACAAGGGTGACTCAGGTGTACATGTTGTAACAGGACTTACTATCGGTGAGGGAAGACGGAGTGACTCAGGTGTACAGGTTGTAACAGGACTTACTGTCGGTGAGGGAAGACGGAGTGACTCAGGTGTACAGGTTGTAATAGGACTCACTGTCGGTGAGGGAAAACTGAGTGACTCAGGTGTACAGGTTCTAGCAGGACTTACTGTCGATGAGGGAAGACAGAGTGACTCAGGTGTACAGGTTGTAACAGGACTTACTGTCGGTGAGGGAAGACAAGGGTGACTCAGGTGTACAGGTTGTAACAGGACTTACTGTCGGTGAGGGAAGACGGAGTGACTCAGGTGTACAGGTTGCAGCAGGACTTACTGTCGGTGAGGGAAGACAGAGTGATTCAGGTGTACAGGTTGTAACAGGACTTACTGTCGGTGAGGGACGACAGAGTGACTCAGGTGTACAGGTTGTAGCAGGACTTACTGTCGGTGAGGGACGACAGAGTGACTCAGGTGTACAGGTTGTAGCAGGACTTACTGTCGGTGAGGGAAGACAGAGTGACTCAGGTGTACTGGTTGTAACAGGACTTACTGTCGGGAGGGAAGACAGAGTGACTCAGGTGTACAGGTTGTAGCAGGACTTACTGTCGGTGAGGGAAGACAGAGTGACTCAGGTGTACAGGTTGTAACAGGACTTACTGTCGGTGAGGGACGACAGAGTGACTCAGGTGTACAGGTTGTAGCAGGACTTACTGTCGGTGAGGGACGACAGAGTGACTCAGGTGTACAGGTTGTAGCAGGACTTACTGTCGGTGAGGGAAGACAGAGTGACTCAGGTGTACTGGTTGTAACAGGACTTACTGTCGGGAGGGAAGACGGAGTGACTCAGGTGTACAGGTTGTAACAGGACTTACTGTCGGTGAGGGAAGACAGAGTGACTCAAGTGTAGAGGTTGTAGCAGGACTTACTGTCGGTGAGGGAAGACAGAGTGACTCAGGTGTACAGGTTGTAGCAGGACTTTCTGTCGGTGAGGGAAGACAAGGGTGACTCAGGTGTACAGGTTGTAACAGGACTTACTGTTGGGTGTTCACTGATGGTAGACGTAGTGACTCGGTGCCTGATCACACCCACACTTATACATCGCCAGTGCTGATACAGGGGTGATTCCCTTTCATCGTGATGTCCTACCTGCAAAGTAAAGGGTGAAGCAGTCAAAATGGGAAATGGAGCGCCATTACCACCATTAGATTTACAGCTAATATCATTAGATTTACAGCTAGCACCATTAGATTTACAGCTAGCATCATTTGCATCATTAGATTTACAGCTAGCATCATTAGATTTACAGCTAGTATCATTAGATTTACAGCTAGCACCATTAGATTTACAGCTAGCATCATTTGCATCATTAGTTTTACAGCTAGCATCATTAGATTTACAGCTAGTATCATTAGATTTACAGTTAGTATCATTAGATTTACAGTTAGCATCATTAGCATCATTAGATTTACAGTTAGCACCATTTGCATCATTAGATTTACAGTTAGCATCATTGGATTTACAGCTAGCACCAATAGATTTACAGCTAGCATCATTAGATTTACAGTTAGTATCATTAGCATCATTAGATTTACAGTAAGCACCATTAGCACCATTAGATTTACAGCTAGCATCATTTGCATCATTAGATTTACAGCTAGCATCATTAGATTTACAGCTAGTATCATTGGATTTACAGCTAGCACCATTAGATTTACAGCAAGGACCATTTGCATCATTAGATTTACAGTTAGCATCATTGGATTTAAAATTAGCACCATTAGATTTACAGCTAGCACCATTAGATTTACAGCTAGCACCATTTGCATCATTAGATTTACAGTTAGCATCATTAGATTTACAGTTAGCACCATTTGCATCATTAGATTTACAGTTAGTATCATTGGATTTACAGCTAGCATCATTGGATTTACAGCTAGCACCATTAGATTTACAGCAAGGACCATTAGCACCATTAGATTTGCAGCTAGCATCATTGGATTTACAGTTAGCAAAATTACCGCCATTATATTTACAGTTAGCATCATTAGATTTACAGTTAGCACCATTAGATTTACAGTTCGCACCATTGGATTTACAGCTAGCACCATTAGATTTACAGTTACCACCATTAGATTTACAGTTACCACCATTAGATTTACAGTTACCACCATTAGATTTACAGCAAGGACGATTAGCACCATTAGATTTGCAGCTAGCATCATTAGATTTACAGTTAGCAAAATAATCACCATTATATTTACAGTTAGCATCATTAGATTTACAGCTAGCATCATTAGATTTACAGTTAGCATCATTAGATTTACAGTTAGCACCATTTGCATCATTAGATTTACAGTTAGCATCATTAGATTTACAGTTACCACCATTAGATTTACAGTTAACGTCATTTGCATCATTAGATTAACAGTTAGCATCATTGGATTTACAGCTAGCATCAATAGATTTACAGCAAGGACCATTTGCATCATTAGATTTACAGTTAGCATCATTGGATTAACAGCTAGAACCATTAGATTTACAGCTAGCACCATTTGCATCATTTAATTTAGAGCTAACACCATTTGCCAGGGTTAGAAACAGTTTTTGGCCACTAGTCCTTATAATGATAACATAAAGCAAAACCCTTAAAAAGGGCAAATTTCTACTAGTCCTTATGATACCTCTACCATTGGGCAGTTTGGCAAGGACTATTGGACTAGTGCCAATTTCTAACGCTGTAAAATTGCATCACTAGATTTACAGTTAGCACAGTTAGTATCATCAGATTTACAGTTAGCACATTTTGCATCATTAGATTTACAGCTAGTAGCATTAGATTTACAGTTAGCACCATTTGATTTACAGCTAGCACCATTAGATTTACAGTTAGCACCATTAGATTTACAGCTAGCACCATTAGATTTACAGCAAGGACCATTTGCATCATTAGATTTACAGTTAGCATCATTGGATTTAAAATTAGCACCATTAGATTTACAGCTAGCACCATTAGATTTACAGCTAGCACCATTTGCATCATTAGATTTACAGTTAGCATCATTAGATTTACAGTTAGCACCATTAGCATCATTAGATTTACAGCTAGCACCATTTGCATCATTAGATTTACAGTTAGCACCATTGGATTTACAGCTAGCACCATTAGATTTACAGCTAGCACCATTTGCATCATTAGATTTACAGTTAGCATCATTAGATTTACAGTTAGCACCATTTGCATCATTAGATTTACAGTTAGTATCATTGGATTTACAGCTAGCATCATTCGATTTACAGCTAGCACCATTTGATTTACAGTTAGCATTATTGGATTTACAGCTAGCACCATTAGATTTACAGCAAGGACCATTAGCACCATTAGATTTGCAGTTAGCATCATTGGATTTACAGTTAGCAAAATTACCGCCATTATATTTACAGTTAGCATCATTAGATTTACAGTTAGCACCATTAGATTTACAGTTAGCAACATTTGCATCATTAGATTTACAGTTAGCACCATTGGATTGACAGCTAGCACCATTAGATTTACAGTTAGCACCATTAGATTTACAGTTACCACCATTAGATTTTCAGTTACCACCATTTGCATCATTAGATTTACAGCTAGCACCATTAGATTTACAGCAAGGACCATTAGCACCATTAGATTTGCAGCTAGCATCATTAGATTTACAGTTAGCAAAATAATCACCATTATATTTACAGTTAGCATCATTAGATTTACAGCTAGCATCATTAGATTTACAGTTAGCATCATTAGATTTACAGTTAGCACCATTTGCATCATTAAATTTACAGTTAGCATCATTAGATTTACAGTTACCACCATTAGATTTACAGCAAGGACCATTAGCACCATTAGATTTGCAGCTAGCATCATTAGATTTACAGTTAGCAAAATTACCACCATTATATTTACAGTTAGCATCATTCGATTTACAGTTACCACCATTAGATTTACAGTTAGCGTCATTTGCATCATTAGATTAACAGTTAGCACCATTGGATTTACAGCTAGCATCAATATATTTACAGTTAGTATCATCAGATTTACAGTTAGCACCATTAGCATCATTAGATTTACAGCTAGCACCATTTGCATCATTAGATTTACAGTTAGCATCATTGGATTTACAGCTAGCACCATTAGATTTACAGCAAGGACCATTTGCATCATTAGATTTACAGTTAGCATCATTGGATTAACAGCTAGAACCATTAGATTTACAGCTAGCACCATTTGCATCATTTAATTTAGAGCTAACACCATTTGCCAGGGTTAGAAACAGTTTTTGGCCACTAGTCCTTATAATGATAACATAAAGCAAAACCCTTAAAAAGGGCAAATTTCTACTAGTCCTTATGATACCTTTACCATTGGGCAGTTTGGCAAGGACTATTGGACTAGTGCCAATTTCTAACGCTGTAAAATTGCATCACTAGATTTACAGTTAGCACATTTTGCATCATTAGATTTACAGTTAGCACACTTTGCATCATTAGATTTACAGCTAGTAGCATTAGATTTACAGTTAGCACCATTAGATTTACAGCTAGCACCATTAGATTTACAGTTAGCACCATTAGATTTACAGCTAGCACCATTAGATTTACAACAAGGACCATTAGCATCATTTGATTTACAGCTAGCACCATGACATTTACAGGTTGCATGTGATTCATTGTTAATCGACAACATGGAGCACTGCCCATAAGACCAAGCTCTGGCTGGTTGCATCACAACATGGAGCACTGCTCATAAGACCAAGCTCTGGCTGGTTGCATCACAACATGGTTCACTGCTCATAAGACCAAGCTCTGGCTGGTTGCATCACAACATGGACCACTGCCCATAAGACCAAGCTCTGGCTGGTTGCATCACAACATGGAGCACTGCCCATAAGACCAAGCTCTGGCTGGTTGCATCACAACATGGAGCACTGCTCATAAGACCAAGCTCTGGCTGGTTGCATCACAACATGGAGCACTGCTCATAAGACCAAGCTCTGGCTGGTTGCATCACAACATGGACCACTGCTCATAAGACCAAGCTCTGGCTGGTTGCATCACAACATGGAGCACTGCTCATAAGACCAAGCTCTGGCTGGTTGCATCACAACATGGACCACTGCTCATAAGACCAAGCTCTGGCTGGTTGCATCACAACATGGAGCACTGCCCATAAGACCAAGCTCTGGCTGGTTGCATCACAACATGGAGCACTGCTCATAAGACCAAGCTCTGGCTGGTTGCATCACAACATGGAGCACTGCCCATAAGACCAAGCTCTGGCTGGTTGCATCACAACATGGTTCACTGCTCATAAGACCAAGCTCTGGCTGGTTGCATCACAACATGGAGCACTGCCCATAAGACCAAGCTCTGGCTGGTTGCATCACAACATGGACCACTGCTCATAAGACCAAGCTCTGGCTGGTTGCATCACAACATGGAGCACTGCTCATAAGACCAAGCTCTGGCTGGTTGCATCACAACATGGAGCACTGCTCATAAGACCAAGCTCTGGCTGGTTGCATCACAACATGGAGCACTGCCCATAAGACCAAGCTCTGGCTGGTTGCATCACAACATGGTTCACTGCTCATAAGACCAAGCTCTGGCTGGTTGCATCACAACATGGAGCACTGTCCATAAGACCAAGCTCTGGCTGGTTGCATCACAACATGGACCACTGCCCATAAGACCAAGCTCTGGCTGGTTGCATCACAACATGGAGCACTGCCCATAAGACCAAGCTCTGGCTGGTTGCATCACAACATGGAGCACTGCTCATAAGACCAAGCTCTGGCTGGTTGCATCACAACATGGTTCACTGCTCATAAGACCAAGCTCTGGCTGGTTGCATCACGACATGGACCACTGCTCATAAGACCAAGCTCTGGCTGGTAGATAAAATATACTGTTGTTTTATTTCCATGCTATGTGCATCAGGTACAAGGGGTAAATGCCCTTACCTAAATACACAGACAGCTTGCATATTTATAAAAGTACATTGCAAGTGATTCTGTTGCATTTGACTGGCTCATAAAGAAATTTCTTCAATGTGTATGTTTCCATGGAAATTCATGTATAAAATAAATTAGCCATGCATACCAACAGAA